AACACGGGCCTTTAAATGAGCCGTAGTGCGACGGTGGGTCACCCACAAATCCAAAAGCACCCGCCCCACCATCCCAAATGCGGCCACGTCAGCGGCGGCGGCGCCTCCCTACCTGAGCAGAGGACGCCTTTGTGCCGGGCGCAGGAGAAGTCGTCGCACTCGCAGTAGCTGCCGTAGATCTTGCCGAACTCCGACTCGTAGCAGAGGCACTGGTTGCAGCTGCACTCCCCTCGCCCGCTGCACATCTGCTTGCCCTCGGCCTCCCGGCAGGCGCTGAAGTGCACGCTGGCGGCCTCGCCCTCCTGGCACTCGCAGCGGGCGCCCAGGTAGCCCGGCTCGCAGTGGCAGGTCCCGCAGTTGTAAGTCCCTGCAAGGGGCGAGAGGTGGGGGGGGGGGGGGGGGGAGAAACAATAAAGGCAAAAACTGCGTGTCCACCTGGGGGCGATTGAGCTACAACTGGATGATAAATGGTGACAGTGTGTTTCAAATATGTCAATAGAAAGCTCACGTAACGTGTAGTTTTGGCCTTTAATGGCCGTCATCATCTCAACAACAATTACCACAAAAGGAGACGGCCCCTCCATAATCACGCCAAAGAAAGCGGCCTATTTCTGGGGTAAAAGTGGGAGTTCCCCCATCAAAATACAGGTCTGACATCAGCGATTGAGGTGTTCAACCCCCGTGTTCAACAGCAGCGGGTTTTTTCCGTCCCGTGTGATTAACAACGCGCCTCTTTCTGGTTAGAGCACAGGAGCAGAACTTCACGCGGTGCTAATTATACACGCGAGGGTGCGGTGTGACCTCGCAAAAGCACCGAATTCTACTCCGTCCCTCCTGGGGTCCGAGTGGAGAAGGAATTCAGAGATCCAGGGATCCACCATCAGCTCATCTCCAGCCATTAAAAGCAGCCACGGAGGGGAAAGCGTCGGAGGGAAGCACCTGTGGCGCTGCAGGCGCTGCTGTTGCTTTGCGCCGTCCGGCTGCAGCCGCAGTCGCACTGATACTCCACGGCCACCTCCAGGCGGTCTTTGAACCCCACCGGCTTGATGGTGAAGCTGCGGTTGGCGCCGCGGGGGGGGCAGCTTCGCGCCTCCACTCTCACGTCGAACGACACCTGCAGAGAAAGGTGGCGCAGCGGTTTAGGGAGAAGCCGAGAGAGTGAGGTAGCGCCCCGGGGGGGAGGAACGGCAGTGACTTCCTGTTAGCGGGGTGAGACGGGGGGGGCGGCGTGAAGGGGGGAGGGTTTGAGGGGTGGGAGAGGCTTTTTTCTTCTCATGAGGAGCACAAAACAACAGTTCAGCTGGGAGTGAACTACACATGATCTCGTGTTGTGTTTACATCTGGGGGGGGGCTGTGGAGACGACTTCTCATATCGGATTGCTTTGAGGAAGGAGTGTTAAGAAGAAGAATGGTTTACTTCGTGTTC